GTCCTGCATGATTGATTTGGGACACCTCCAGCATCTCCACTTTAGATAAATAAGGCCAAGACCATTGAGATACCTACTTCTCTTGGAAACATTTGCTGCTTTGGCAGGTGAATGGGGGTGGGAGATCCTCTAGAGATGGTCCCCTGCTCCCCTGGGATGACACAAGCCTGGTGTCCAGCAGAGAGCTGGGAGCCCAGAGCCAGCCCCGCCCAGAAGGAGGAGTGCCTCATGTGAAGGTCAGGGCCATTCTAGGGCCACACAGACACAAAAAGAACTCCAAGCCTCAGAGTGGGAAGAGCATATTTTTCGAAAACAAAAAACAAGACTAAAACAGTCTGTTGCTCTGTCCTGTGTGCCCTGTCCCTGGCCAGAGAGGGCCCAAGAGGTGCTCATGCAGTCCTGTTCTAGGACCTCCGCCCTCACATCCAGGCCTGGAGGGAGGGCCCAGGCAGGCAGATGTCAGGGCCCCAGGCCTGCCCCCCGACCCCTTGCCCTGCTCCCTGTGAGGCTCAGCACTCGAGCTTCGGACTCCGCAGTTGTCTCCAGAGCCGGATGATGTCCTGGGGGCTGAGGGGTCGCACAAGCAGCAGGTCTCGAAGAGTGCAGGGGTCCATGGTGTGGTCACCTGGCCAGGCTGTGAGGAAGCCTGAGTGGCGCCGGGGCACCAGGCCCAGGGCACAGAAGCAGAGGCCCATGTAGACGTCACCAAAGGGAAAGGGTGCCACACGGGCTGCCGCCTGCAGTAGCCAGGGAGCCAGGCGCCCTGCAATGACATAGCCGCCTCCACTTGCATAGGCTGGGTAGTCACCTTCAAAGAAGGACTGGGGCACATAGAAGGGCCCTCCAGGCTTCCGGAGAGGCTTGGCCTGGGTGAAGACCTCACCCAGATAGAGGCTTCGGGCCCAGGTGGGTGGCAGGGCCTGCAGGTGAGCCAGCAGGGCAGGGATGTGCACAAAGGCGTCATCCTGAACTTGCAGGACAAAATTCACGTCAGGGCAGTGGTGGCCTACCCAGGTCAGTAGCAGCAAGTCTTTGAGTGTCTGGTTATACAGGACATCGAGGAAGTCCCAGAGCAGCAGGTCACTGTAGCGAAGGCTCTCCCAGGTCACCAGTGAGCGCAGGTCAGGTCCCCCTTTTCCCACTGGGGACCCTAGCAAGAAAAGCAGCCTGATCCCAGGAGCTGCGCTGCCCCACGTCTCCCTCACAGCCTGGCGTTCTGCAAAATGTCCTGGTTCCGACTTGACAGCCAGCAGTAGGTAGGGGACACCAGTATTGGAGCAGCTGGTCATTTGGCTGTCTTCACCTGCAGGCAGCCATTGTGGGAAGCTCCTGCAGGCTGCTGACAGCAGGAAGCGGCGAAGGTCTTCGGGGTAGGAGGCAAAGTCTGGGATCTCAGCAGCAGCAGCAGTATCCCAGGCCTGGCAGCCTCCTGTCTCAGTGCTGTCCTCCCTGGGCAGGGTCCCCAGCCGCCACTGTTGCTGGTTCCAGTAAGCTGAGGATAGCAGGCCAGTCTGGCCCAGCCGGGCTGAGAGGTTGGCAGGCAGGGTGGGCTCAGCGCCGGCGGCTGTGGGGCCTGGCAAGGTGCCCCGGGCTTCTGGGTATGCCTTGGTGACCCGGGACTCCGAAGTCCACTCGATGTACACCTTGAGGCCCAGGAGTGTGAGCAGAGCTGACAGGCAGAGCAGGCACTTGGGGCAGCGCATGACCTGGCCCAGAGAGAGGGCAGCTGAGGGAGCTGCAAGGGAGCCAGGGAGGCCTTTGGGGTTTGAGCGCCCAGCCAGGCCCCAGCAGGCAGCCTCACTCCTGCAGCCTCAGCTACCCCCAGAAATGGCTGCTCTCAGTTCCATGCCCTAAGCAGCCCCCTCCCCCAGGACCCAAGTATCATCTTTTCCTAGACCCAGCCCCCCCCCCAGCCCAAAAGGTCCACACCTACTCTGCTTTTCTACCCCACCGCCATTCTTAACCACCTCCTCTCCACATTCATCCCGCTCCCCAGGAACCGTGAACGGATCCCCAGCTCAAAGAGTGAGCTCCTTACACTTCATAGAAACCCAGCCCACTCCCATTCCCAGCAGCCCCACCCCAGGGCCTGGGGCCTCGGGGATCGGCTCCTCAATACCTCTGGGTCCGGCTCCTGCCAGCTCCAGCGCTGCCGGGCCTCTGGTCAGGCCCTGCCTCGGCTCCCTCCCGCAGCCTCTGTTCCCTCCGGTCGCAGGCTGCCAGCCCAGCGCTGCTGCCAGTCCAGAGGGGCGGGCTGGAGCGCAGGCGGGAAGGCCCCAGGGGCCGGGAGGGGCCGGGGCGGGGGCGGGGGGGGGGGGGGCTGGAGGCCGACCAGGGAGCCGGGCAGGCGGGGCGGGCGCAGCGTGTCAGGACTGGTTTTCTGGTGAGACAGCGGGAGAGGTGCAGGGGTGGCCATAGCCCAGACGAGACCCGCGAGGGCCCAGGAGGGGAGGTCCGGGGTCCTGAGGAAGTGTCTGAGGGAGGGCGAGGCCAAGGCAGGGCCTGAGCCATGCTGCCTGGTGTCAAAGTGATCAGGGAGAGGCCGAGTCCCAAGGAGGAAAGACGGGACGGGAGGCCGAGGGGGCTGGCGCGGGGCCACAGCCAGGAGGAGGCGTGAATGTGCTGAGTGGGGATGGATCGGCTCCCAGAGATAGGGATGTTTGCAGTTGCTGCCCAGTCAGGATAGGGGGCGAGGAGCTGGGACATCTGAGGAGAGGGAGAGACAGCTGAGAGAACTCGGGAAGGCGCCCTGAAGAGAGGAGAGAAAGGGGTTGAATCGGGAGATGAGAGCTAGGAGGAGAGAGAGGACCAGGAAGGTGGACCGGAGGACGGAGAGGCTGCGAGTGGAGCCCGGGAGAGGGGAGGCGTGATCTGGAAGTCCTGAGGGGAGTGCAGGGGTAGAGATTGAAAGGCAGGAGGAGGGAGTCCGAACCCGGAGCTGACCCTGGGAGAGGCTGCAGAGAGCCTGGGAGGAGCCAGAGGAAAGGGCCGAGGTGAACGGTAGGCGAAAGGGACCCGAAGGGAGGGCAATAGAGGGTGATGGGGCGGCCGCACCGGAAGTTCCCGAAGCTGGGCCTCTTGCCCCCGGGCCTTGCGCGGTTCCTCTCGGCCCGCACCCAGCGCTGGGCCCCGCCCTCCGCCTCCCTTAGACTCCGGGAGTGCTCTCTCGCTCCCTAGGGCCCCTGGGACTGGAGAGGGTGTCTGGCTGTGTTTACTTCTCTGCCTCTCGGGGCTGCTGCTGTTGGGGCTGCACTAGCTGTCTGGAGAGACTGGCAGGTGGGGCCTCCTGGTCCCAGATCTTCCGGGACCTGGGGTGTGGACTTCGGCCCCCACAGCCTGGACCGACCCCCTTCACCCCACCTGGTTTGGAGAGCCACTGGCCGGATCATCTCAGGAACTCACCTGTCAACTGCAGCTTATTATCCATCCAGCCCTGATTTCTACCTTCCAAATTTGAATAATGGAGCCCATGGGAACGGATGGAAGAAGACAGTAGGGAAGAAGTGGTTGGTAAATGCTAATGGTATAAAAGCTAGAGTGGGAAAGACAACCAGGGACTGGGCAGGACCAAGCCTACCTCACCCTTGGCTAGAGATAGGGTCAGGTTGAGCTCTCCTGGCTCATCTCACTTCGTCCGGGGTGCAGAGGCATGGGCCGGGGTGGCACTATCCCTCCTGGGGCCTTGAGAAGCCTCACAGGGCACTGTTCTGGTTGCTGTATCAACCTGGGTCCACACAGCAACTGGAACAGGGAAAGTTCAATAGAGTAATGTGCACATGCACACCCGTAATCCTAGCACTAGGGAATCAAACCAGGAGGATCACAAATTCAAGTCTGGCTGGGGCAACTTACGGAGATTCACTCTTTAAAAGGGGGGGGGGGATGTAGCTCAGTGGAGAGTGCCCCCGGGTTCAATCCCTAGTACTACCAACACCACCACCAAAAAAAAAAAAAATTATGAGATTGGAGTAATGACGGATCCGTACTAAGATTCGTGAATCACACATAGCTGGAGGGAGGTGGCTATCAGGTTGAATGTGATCAATCCTAATGCTCTGTCTCTATAACTAAGCCTCTGGCTTCCTGGATCCGTATTATGCCAGGGCTCTCCTGGTCTCTTGGCCTCTTCACCTGTAGACTGCTGTTGGGTCGAAGTTCTAGTCACCCAACCAAGTAACTGTTAAAGCCACCCCCAGATGCACACGGTAACTTACTTAATCTAGAATCTCTGGTAAGCACGCCCATCCAGTGAGTTTGGGCCGAGCTAGCATTAAGTTCATCCTCGTTAGTCTGACACCCTTAGAATCCTCTCCTGCACGCATTTCCCAGGGCTCTGTACATCAGTTTGCAAAGTTTCCTTGTTCTTCTAGTGTGCAGGTTGCTCCCTCCTGAGTCCTGCTGGCCTCTGTTCCCAGGTATGTAGGGGCCTGGTGGCAGCAGCAGCACCTGTGAGTCTGAACAGGTGTCCTCTTTAAAGGTGAGGTCACCTTACATGGTGTCAAGCACAGTGGGTTGGGAGCCCCTGGCACTGGGAAGGGACGCTCAGAGTGACTTTGGGGGTCTGAGGTCTTCTGTTTACTCTGAGTCCAACCAGATGACCCCACTCTAAGAACTTCTGGGGCTGTTAACTAAGCTGTCTAGTTTTCAGATGCAGCTGAGCAGACTCCAGCTTGTCACTGTGTCTGTGGGCACTCAGGAGCACTCCCAAGAATCCACCCAAACCCTGGCCTTTAGAATTGTCTGTCCTGCCACAGCTGTGGGGCATTGGGGTCACAGGGGCTCTGAGTCAGGTGCTTCCATTGGCACGGGATCCACCACAGCTGGGCTGTGAAGCCACTGCATAATGGGGATCACTGGCTTCCCATTTCCCTGAGCTGCGGTCAAGCCCAAAGTTACGACCAAACCACCCCCAAATTCCATCTTAGAAGCTGTGTCCTGGGGCATTCCAGGTACAGAGTCTGGATCAGTCTGGAGCCAATAAGGAGAGAAAAACCACACGGTAATTTCACAGGGAAATTTTAATATAATGAATTATTCAACAGTGAACTGGAATCACAAGAATTCATTGGTAAATGCCTGAGCTGACTGGAAATGTGGCTGGGTTGCTGGGGAGCCTCAGGGAGGGGCTGCACCCCAAAAAACCACAGGACTGGGGGTGCCAGGGGAAGCTGGTGACCACAAACCTCTCCAGGACTGTGCTGGGGAAACCACACGCCCTGTGGCCCAAAGCTGGAGAAGCTAAGGTGCATGGGGCACAGAGCACACACCTTCCCTCTGGCAATCTGTCTCATCAGTGTACCCTGCTGATGAGGCCTAGCATGCCGTTGGCAAAGGAAATAAGTCCAAAGGCCCAGTGGCATTTTCACAGAGCAGCAGAAAAAAGTTGAATTTGAAACAAAGCTAATAAATCAATAAGCAGCCACATCATGGGAACTGGGGAGCGAGGGCCAAGGATGGTGGACAGGTGAAGTGAGCTGGCCAATCCTGCACAGGGAAGTGCCAGGGGCACCTCGTGTCCGTCAGGGTCCCTGTGAGATGGCCAACCTCTAACATGGATGGGTGCATCACATGTGGGGACCCATGGAGGTGAGCGCAGCTCCTGTCCTACTGACAGTTCAAAGAGGCAGCGGAAGGAGCTGAGTGAAAAGGGTTGCCAGCCATGAGCAGCCAGCAGCAATAAATACCCCAACCTCATGCTATCCTTCCCTCTGGTCTGCCAGTCCTCCATGCCCCATGCTGAAGGAACCCCACCTTGGAGGGCAGGGTATAGGTAGCTACGACACTCCACATGGGTCACCGAGATCACGGGCTGCAGGCTTGGCATGGATAGGGCTGGCTGGGTCCTGAGGCTGCTCCTCTGGACCCTCCTGGGTCCAGTCAGTCCCCACAACCTCACAGTTTGGCAGCATCTCCTCCACCAGGATCTGAGTGAGGCCCGGGTACTCCACACCGGGGAGATCTGAGATGTCCAGTCTACGGAGGTTCCTGAAAGGGGAAAGAAGGGGAGGAGGCTGACATCAGAAGAGGGGTCTGTGTGTGTGTGTGTGTGTGTGTGTCCCTAATTACAGCACCTAGCTTCCTAAATTTTTGAGGGGGAGGTGCTGGGGATGGAAGTCAGGGTCTCATGCATGCATGCAGGCAAATGCTCTGCCACTGAGCTACATCTCTAGTTCCAAAATAAATCTTTATGGCTGTCTCGGGTGAAATCCACCACTTAGGTACAAATATGTGCCTCTAGCTGCTACTGTTCTGCAACAGTGTATGCTGTGGAGGTTTCATTAAAACAAAACCGAAGAAAAACCAAGAGTCCTTAATTCTCACAGACTTGTGCCTGCTCCTCTGCGGACCCTCTACACATTCTAGGGCTGGGAACCAGGAAGGAGACAGTAGCGGCCCACCAGCACCCCCCACCCTCTCACACCCATGCTGGGTGGGAGGTGCCCTGATGGGGGCCCAGACTGTACTGAGGTCTCACGAGAGGTGGTGGAGGCAGGCAAGGCCCCGCTCAGAGATTTGGGGGCAGCCGGCCAGGGAGAGCTCCTGCAGTGAGTCGGCCAGCAGGTAGAGGCGGCTGAGGCACCAGTCATCCACGTGGGGACAGCGCTGCAGTGACAGGCACTGGAGCTTCTTCAGGGGCACTGCAGGAGCACAGGGTGATGCCATGAGGGCCCTTCTGGAGCCATCACCCAAGGGGAGGTCTGAGGCTTCCAGCCCCACCTGAGCCCTCTTACAGAGGTTGTCTAAGCCATGGTAGTTGATGGCACAGCCACTGGCATCGATAGCCTCCACAGGCACTGCCTGGAACTTCAAGACCTCAGCAGAGAAACGTCTGTACTCATCTGACCTGATCCACTCCCTGTCTCGAAACCTGGAAAAGGGATGAGAGAGTGTCAGCAGGTGCCTGGCCCTCCCCATGCCTCCCACCTCCAAACCCCCATCCCAGCCCCTGGACTGCACTGGCTGGGCATTTCCTGTACACCTGCCCGTCGGGGGGCACCACGAATAAGCCGCTGTGACAATCTGGTCGCACATGGAGACAGGGTCTCTGAGAGATGACTGATACTTAAGAGCAAAGAGCCATATGCACAGATTCTTGTCCATGGCCAACAGAGATGGGCGTCCTCAGACTCTGCCCTGATTGGAGGAGGCTGCTGGAGGAAGCACTCAAACCAGGTGGGAATTTTAATTGGAACAAACATGAGGAGCAGGTGAACCCTATGGGGGTTGTACCTTTCCAAATAGAAGGAAAAAATAAAGGGGAGAAAAGCCAAGAAAGAAGGGCAAGAAGGAAAAAGGGGGAAATGAAGAAAAAAAATTTTTTTGAGACAGGGTCCCACTATATTGCCCACACTGGCCTTGAATTGCTGGGCTCAAGCAATCCCCCTGGCTCAGCATCTCAAATAGCTCCCACAGGTGCCCACCACTACTCCTGGCTAATTTTACTGAGCACATGTGCTATGCCAGGCCTGTGTTTGTTCCTTTTTGTACCAGAGATTGAACTCGGGACCTTGTGCTTTCGAGGCAGGTGGCGGAACCACTGAGCTAAATCCCTGGCTAGGCCTGTGTTTAGATTGCAAAATCCCAGTTTTTACAGCAAACTCTGTAGCTAGCTACACTTTACCATCTGACTTCACAAAGACAGAACAGAAGCCAGGAACAGGTCTCTTGCTCCACAGCCATCAGGTGGCAGAGACCAGGGGTCACAGGGAAACCCACAGCAGAGCCTGGTCTCAAACACTTGCATGCCCACACCCTTATCGGGGAAGCCCCTGCTGTCATACTTGACTGATCCTCCGTGCTGCAGGATGAAACAGGCTCCTGCGATATCTCGGCCATATTTGTCCTGGATTATAGTGAAGGATCTGCCGAGAAATAGGTAATAAAGATGAGACTGTGGAGCACACACCCTCCCCAGGCCCCAGTGTTGCTGAGGGGCACAGTCCAGGGCGCCAGGCAGATGCACAGGCGGGGCTGGCTGCACATCTTTACAAAAAGCCTGTTAACAGCATTTGGCCGCACAGTGACGGCCAAGACAGATAAACATCTCTGCCCCTGCTGGGCCATATGACAGGGAGGCAGATAACAAACCCGGAAACAAGTGCAAATTTCACAGGAGAGCTGACTGGGTGTGGTGGGGATGGCAGAGGCTTCTTGGAGGTGGTGAGATTTACAGACTTGAATGGTGAGAAGGAATGAGGAGGTCAGGTTCAGAGACTTGAATTAGGAAGGCCACATCCATGGCAGTAGGGTGCTGTGGCGGTGGAGGTGAGGGTATCCTTGGTAGAGGTCTCAGAGCTCAGTGGGGGCCAGGTTTCAGGCGTTAGAGAGCAGCTCTTATTCTAGTTCCAATCAGAAAGCCCTTGAGGTTTTAAGCACAGTTATAATGTTTACTATTTTACTTTGTGTGTGTGTGTAGTACTGGCTCGGTAAGTCTTCAGCCCTTATTTATTATTTAGAGTCAGGGTCCCACCAAGTTACTAATTTGCCGAGGCTAGGCTCAAACTTTCAATCTTCCTGCCTCAGCCACCCAGAATGCTGGGATTATAGATGTGCCACCATCCCTGACTAAAATTTTTTTCTTTTTTTTTTTTTTTTGGTATTGGGGATCAAACTCGGGATCTTGTGCTTTTGAGGCAGGCAGTGGAACCACTGAGCTAAATCCCTGGCCCTGAAATTTTTTTTTTTCCAGTCGTGCTGGGCTCAAACTCAGGACCTCTATCATGCTAAGCATGTGCTCTGCCACTGAGTTAGACCCCAGCTCCTCTATTTTACTTTAAGAATCCTTCAGCTGCTTTGTTAACTGTAATGGAGAATAGGGAGTATAAGGTCAAGAGGTTACTACAGTAGTATAACCTTAAGATGAAGGGGCTCAGAGCGGGGTGACAATGGTCACATTTGGAATATTCTAGCATTGATGGACAGAATGTAGGCTGAGAAACCAGGAGGGGATTTAGGGAGGATTCCTTCATGTATACTGTTTATTATTTATTTATTTTTGACCGGGTTTCACTATGAAGTTCAGGCTGCCCTTGAACTACCAGCAATCCTCCTGCCTCAGCCTGCTGAGTGCTGGAATTGCAGGTGTGCAACACCACACCCAGCAGGAAGGACTGCTTCACAACTGACTGAAGGGTGGGCAGTGGCACCTGTTTCTGGGATGGGGAAAGCTTGGGAGTGAGCAGACTTTTCAGGGAGAAATGAAGGAAGAAATTGGTTTCAGCCACGTCAGATCTAAGATGCAAGTTAGGCCCCTAGGTGGGGCTGGTGGCAGCAGGCCCTTATATGAGCGGGAGCCCTTGTGGGGTGGAGCAGCCCTAGTGCTGCCCAGGAGTGGCAAGGCAGGAGTGGGGCTCCTGCTGTTGAGGGGCGAGCAGCAGGATCTCCACAGGGTCCTGCAGACCTCAGGTTCTCACCTGTTTTCCAGGGACACCTTTTGCATCTGCTTCTGGAGCACGTTCTCCCTCAGAAACTCCATGTCACAGAAATGGTCAGACAGGAACTGCAGCAGTGTCCTTCTCTTCCTCCGATTGCCCTCTGGGGTCACCACTCCACTCAGATCACGGAAGCCCCTCTTACCCCCATTCCATTTTGGGGGTATCAGGCGCAGGAACTGGGGAGAGGGAGAGGAGGGACCGAGTCTACAGCTGGATCCCCTTAGTTCTTTTTTTTTTTTTGGTACCCGAGATCGAACTCGGGACCTTGCGCTTTCGGGGCAGGCGGCGGAACCACTGAGCTAAATTCCTGGCCCCGGATCCCCTTAGTTCTTGCTCCATGAACCCTACCTCCCAGCTTCCTGGCTCCTGCAAAATTCTTCTTTCAGAATCTCTAGCTGGGTGTGGTGGTGCAAGCCTGTGTTCCCGGCATTTGGATGGCTGTGGCAGGAGGATCACTGTAAGTTCAAAGCCAGCCTGAACTACAAAGAGAGATTGTTTCAAAAAACAAAACCAAAGGTCGGGGATTTAGCTCAGTGGTTTCACCACCTGCTACACAAGCGCAAGGACCCAAGCTCAATTCCCCATACCAAAAAAACCCCCCCAAAACAACAAAACCAAACCTCCACATTTTGGGCTGGGCAGTAGCTCAGGGGCAGAGCATCTGCTTAATATGCATAAGACCTTGGGCCCCAAAACAAGACTGCAAAATTCTGTCTTTGGGATTCCAAAAATTTCCCCATGTTTTCTCCAAGGGTTGATTAGGGTTCTTCTCCTTAATCCTAAATTCCTTCCTTAATTTAGCCAAACATTCTTGGTTTTCCCAAATTCTTCCCTAATTTTCCTAAATCCTGATTTTTCTCTCAAAATTTCCATTATCAGACTTAATTCCCCACAAATTTGCCTCTTAATTTTACTCAATTCTCTCTGAGGTCTTCCTGAGTGACCCATTTCCTTCTTCCCAGACATAACCTTAGTATCATTGAGTTTTTTGGCAGCTGGTGCTAATGATCAAACCCAGGGCTTTGTGTGTGATAGGCAAGTCCCCTACCACTGAGCTACATTCCCAGTGGCCCCTCCCTCTAAATTTATTTCCAAAGAAATCTTTATATACCATGGACAGTACTCTTTGAAAGAACCTTACACCTGAAAAGAACAAAACCTTTAAGGGGAAGATTGGAAAATGGAGCAGTGTGGCTTCCAGGAGAACCCCCCAAATTCTTCAGTCTCTCTTCCAAGCCTCCTCTTAATTTGCCCCAAATTCTTTGCTTTAACCAAATTCACTCTCATTTCTCTCAAATCCTCCTTGCTTATTTGTTTGAGACAAGGTCTCCTATATAGTTCAGGCTGGCCTTGAACTATATAGCCCAGGCTGATCTTGAACTTGCTAACCATCTTCCTGCCTCAGCCACCTGATTGCTGGGATTACAGGTATACACCACTTCAAATTTCTTAAACTCAGGCCGGGGATTTAGCTTAGTGGTTTCGCTGCCTGCTGCGCAATGCACACAAGGACCCGAGTTCCATCCCCGGTACCAAAAAAAAAAAAAGAAAAAAAAATTTCTTAAACTCAATTTCTTTAATTTTCCCTAAATTCATTCTTTTTTCTTTTTTTGGTACCAGAGATTGAACTCGGGACCTTGTGCTTTCGAGGCAGGCGGCGGAACCACTGAGCTAAATCCCTGGCCCTAAATTCATTCTCTGATTTTACCCAAATCCTCTTTTTGGTGACAAAAGTGTTCAACTTCTTGACAACAAAATTTTTCTGCAGTCATGAAGTATGGCAGTAAACTGCCTAGAAATAACACCAGATAAAGTGTAAGACCTATTCATCCCTCCAAATGAGCCCTGATCCATCTCAAAGAGTTAATGTGTGTAGATATTCTTATTTAAACTAAAGGTGCTTCTGTGAGACCAGAGTACACCATCTTGCCAATTTGCAACTATTTTTTTTTTAGTACTGGGGATCAAACTCGGGTACTTGCGCTTGCGCAGCAGGGGGCAAAACCACTGAGCTAAATCCCTGGCCCTGTTGTTTTTTGAGACAGGGTCTCACTGTGTAGTTGAGGCTGGCCTTGAACTCACTATGTAGCCCAGGCTGGCCTCCAACTCGAAGTGATCCTCCTGCCAGGGCCTTCCCAGTGCTGAGATCACAGGCGTTCCCCACCATGCCCAGCTCGATTTGCAACTTTGATGTACAACTTTAGTTACAACGCACATATCTCTGGAATCTTAACGAACAAGAAATGCATATCTAAGATGTCTCTATTTGTTATCGCAGACCTTTTCCCATGTCTTCAATCCCTTATAAAAACTTTAACCTCGGCCGTTGATTTAGCTCAGTGTTTTCGCCGCCTGCTGCGCCTGCTGGGCAAGTGTAAGGACCCGAGTTCAATCCCCGGTACCAAAAAAGAAAAACTTTAACCTCTTACCGTGAAGTCTCAAATCTTTCTTGGAACTAGCCCATTGCCTCTTTTAGTATATCAATAAACGAATTTCTCTTTCTCTCTCCCTCCCTCTCTTATTTGTTTGAGACTGAGTCTCTCGGCTCCTGCCTCGCAAGCTCAAGGACCCGAGTTCGATCCCCGGTACCAAAAAAAAAAAAAAAAAAATGAGACTGGGTCTCACTATGCAGTTCTGGTTGGCCTTGAACTATGTAGCCCAGGCTGGTCTTGAACTCGTGGTGACCCTCCTGCCTCAGCCTCCTGGGTGCTGCAATTACAGGCGTGCACCACCACTCTCAGCAGCCTAATTTCCTTCTGTTTCCGGACTGTTGGTAATTGTTATCTAAACTAATTCTTTTACCGGCCGCGTCACTGGCCCTTCCTACGTCATCTCCTATGGCACTCTTACAGACTATCCCACTTTTTTCTTTTAATTTCCCTCAGATTTTCCCCTTGGAACTCCCAAATTCACTTTTTGGTTCCTCCCAGAAGCCCCATCCCACCACATCTTTGGTTTTCCATCAAAATTCCTAAATCTCCCATGAATTTTCTTCAAATTTATTCTTTGATCTCTATCCTGGGATCTAATCTCAGACCCTCAAGCTTCCAACCACTCGTCCATTCCAGGTCCCACCCTCGCCTGCCCATTGGCTGCCGGTACATGCATTCGTATCCCTCCCTCTGATTGGCTGGACGCGCCTCTCTTGGGACCATACTACTCATTCCCATTGGCTTCTGTCTGCCAAGTCCTCGCCCACTCTTGCTCTAGAGCTCAGCAGCCGCTTTCCACCCCTCACAGATCCCTCCTGGCCCTGGCAGCCACAGGTGTACACTCCCATTGCTAGGCCCAGCGGGGACGTCCTGCTCCCTACGGCTCTTTGCTCCCCTGGGCGCCGACAGAGTTCTTGTAGGTAGAGGCTGCGAAGAGGACATCAACTTTAGGGCTTCTAGGAGCTCCGGTCACCTACCGCCCTGGGTGCCGCCATCTTGCTGGGCCTCGTAACCGGAAGGGGCCGGTCTTTCCCCCCACCAACGAGTTCCGTCGCGAACACTTTCTCTCATGGCCACGCCCCTCCTTTCCAGCCCGCCCCTTAAAGGCGCACACACTAATTAAACTCCCGGGTTTAGGGATTACTCAGAGCGTCCTTTCCACGGGCTTTAAAACGGAACTCTGCTAGTCCTTCTCTAGGAGAGGTGGACAGTCCTTCCTTTTGGGGGTATTTTCTTTTTCTTGGACTGGAGTCGCAGTCTCCCTGAGCTTCCTTGTTCCTCCAGCTCTCACTTGCTACATCTATTCTCAATGAAAAACTGCCTACGATTTTCTTTTCTTTTGGGGGGGGGGGTACCGGGAATCGAACTCAGGACCTTGCGCTTGCAAGGCAGGCACGGTGTCACTGAGCTAAATCCCTGACCCTTCTTTTCTTTTCTTTTTTTTTTTTAACTGGGCGAGGGAAAAGGAGCGGATGGTGAGGTTAGACTTCAAGGTAAGGCCTGCAGTGAGAGCCGAAAACTGGTATTGTAGGGTGTTGGGCTTCAGTTTGGAGTTCGTGCCTAGCTCACTTGGAGATTCAATGTGAAGTCTTTGGATGGAATTATTTATTCATACCGCAGATGTTGACTACCACGGGGTGCCAGGCACTGTTCTGGGTGCTGAGGTTACCCTGGTGAGCAGGACAGAGCCATCTGTCGCTCAGGGAGTCAACTTGCCAGGCAGGGAGAGGATGGGTAAGAAACAAGTGAATAAACAAGATAACTTCAGGTAGGGTTCGATTAGAAGTAGCAGGCCGGGGATTTAGCTCCGTGGTGCCGCCGCCTGCCTCACAAGCGCAAGGTCCCAAGTTTGATCGCCGGTAACAAAAATAAATAAATAAAATTGGTGACTTAAAAAAAAGTAGATAAAAACAGGCACTGTAACAGGGAGTGACTGGGGCGTAGGGTCATCAGCAAACGCTTCTCTGAAGAGGTGACACAGAAGTGGAAGTGAATGATAAGGAAACAGGTAACCAGAGTTCTCAGGGGGAAGAGTCCTGGGCGGAAGTTACAGCTTCTGCAAAGGCCCTAAGAGGCAGCCAGCTTGCAGAGAGAATCAGGAGGCTGGTTCAGAGAGGTGGGCGAGGGCTGACTGTGTAGGGTTTCATTCTGTTCCCAGTGGGAGGAGGAGAGTGTCAATATCTATTTACATTTTGAAAAGATAATTTCTGCCAGGGGAAGAACGAATCTTAGGGGACCAGGGTGGCTGCAGGGAACCGGCAGAGAGGCTACTGAGATAGTCCAGGTGAGAGATGAACAGGAATGGGCCAGTGACAACGCCAAGAAGTGCTCCGATTCTGGATCTGTTTTGAAGCTTGAAGCAACAGCTTCAGGAACCAAGAGGATCCTGATGTCACTTATGGAGATGGAGGAATTCAGGAAGCAGCAGGTTTGGGAGGGTGGGGACGGTAGGATGAAGGACCCCCTGCAGATATCCATGTTCCGGGAACCATGTCCCTGTGACCCCATTACTTTTATATGGTAAAAGGGACTAAATAAGAACCAAGAGAGATCATGTAAAGGTGCAAACGTCCAATGATGAATGTCATTATATTGTATACCTAAAATGTACCAATAAGATTTTTTTTAAAAAGGGACTTTTGCACATGTGATGAAGTTAAAAATCTTGAGATAAGAAGGTTATCATGGGTAATTGTGTAGGGCCAGTGTAATCACAGGGAGGCTGGAGAGTCAGGTTCAGTAGGGGACTGGATGATAGAGTGAGCCGAGGAAGGGGCCATGAGCTAAGGAAAGCAGGTGGCTTCTAGAAGCTGGAAAATACTGGGAAATAATTTCTCCCTACAGCCTACAGAAGGAACTAGCTCTGTGCACCTGAATTAGACTTCTGACCTCCGGAACTGTGTGTACAAGCATAACTTTTGTTTTAAGCGACCAAGATCGTGGTAGTTTCTTATGGTGCCAGCAGGAAATGAGTCCAGTGGAGTAGGTCCTGACTGAGAGTTCTGTTCTGACCAGGTGACTCTGAGATGTCTGAGATGGCCCCATGGAGCTGCTGAGTTGGGGGCAGTTCACGACAGGGTCAGGAACTTGGGAGCCATTGACTTACCCAGGGATGGTAACATGGTGGGCTGCAGAGAGGCAGAGGGAAGCTGGCAGCAGGACTGCCCTGACATTGCTAACAGCTGTGACAGGTCCAGGGTCAGCAGAGATGGCCAGTTCACGGTAGCCAGCAGCCTGGACACTCGGAGACACTGGTGGGAGGACTGGGATGTGGACAAACCAGAGGTCAAGTAGAGAAAGTTCAGCAAAGGAGGGTGAGGAGGAGGGGCTGGAGGTGTGGGAGGGTCCGGGAGAGGCAAGAAGAAGAGGCCAGGCAGCTGCAAACACTGAGCACAGTGTGAGGCCCAAGAAGAGGCAGGTGATGGAGTTTGGCCTCCACAAGAGGGTGAGGTTGGAAAAAAAAAAAAGAAAAAGAAAACCAGCCAGCTGGTTCTAATTGAAGAATGGACTTTGGGATGCATCTGCCTGGTCTCCTTCATTGCCCTCCCCCCAGCTCTCCAGAGGACTTGGTCACCCTGGACCTTGCTACTTCCTGGTCCTGGAGGCCAAGGCTGGGACTATGGAGCTGTGGATGCAGCTAAAGCAGGCTGGACTGGAGCCCCCAGGACTGGGCCCACCCCCTCAGGCCCTGAGGGGGCCCCCTCCAGAGGAGAGCCCTGGCCAGACCCTCACGACCCTGGGGGCAAACCTTGGAAGTGCCAGGGAGAGCCTGCTATGGATCTGGCAGGAATTGGTGAGTGAAGGGTTTGGAGAGACAAGAGAATAAATGAACAAGTGTGAGTGAATGAGAATAGAGAGGGCCGGAGACTGAAGGACAGAAACCAAGAGGAGTAGAGAATAGAGGCAGAGACAAGAGAGGCAGAGACACAGAGTGAGAGGTAGGAATAGAGACAGAGAGACGCAGAAGGAGGCACAGGTAGAAGTCAGAGGTTGAGAGCAGGGACAGAGAGAGATTCAAACTGAATCTGAGATAGGGCAAGGGCAGAGAAATGGGGACATGGAAATAGAGACAGAGAGACAGGGACATAGAGGAACAGAGACAGACAATGAGAGATATAATGAGGGAGGGAATGAAAGAAATGGAGAGACAAAGACAGAGCTGTCACGAGATACCCTGGGAGGTACACAGTGAGGACATGCCCAGGTGCTGTGGGGCCAGGACCCGAGCTGGGACTTGCGCCCATCCAGGGCCCGCAGGACCCCTTGGCCTCTGGGTGACATGCTGTGACAGCCCTCCTTCCCGGCAGGGGAACCTGCGCCGAGTGGACGTCCAGCTGCTAGGCCAGCTGTGCAGCCTGGGGCTGCAGATGGGGGCCCTTCAGCAGGAACTGGTCACCATCCCGGAAGAGGAGGAGGTGGAGAGTGGTGACTTCGAGGAAGAGGAGGAGGAAGAAGAGTCCCAGGGGATGCAGGAGGAGGGACATGTGGGGGCCTCCTGCCCAGCCTGGCGCCTGCCCGACTTTGAGATGACAATCTGAGGCACTGCTCAGGCACATGAGATGCAGATTTATGCAAAGGAGAAGAGAGATTTGCAGGTCCAATCAAATTTGGAATCAACATGCTCCTTGGCAAGCGCTTTCTCTGAGGCTGTGGCCCTGTGCCGTGGTGCAGTTGTTTGCAGATGGAGACAGAAATGTAGGGAGACACTGCAGGTGGACCTGCCGGGGAGCCTCCGCTGTGGGGGAGACGCGCAGCAGGGAGATCTCTGCAGCTCCAGATGAAGATCCACACTGTCCGTAGGTAGCCAACAGCCCAGTGTGGTCAGGGAGCACTTGAAACATTGGCAAGTCCAGATTGAGAAGTGATGTGACTGTGAAATACACACCAGGCTTCCAAGGCCAGTATGGTTAAGGAAGCTAAAAATCTCAATAATTTAAAAAATTGATTACATGTGGAAATGACATTTTCAGTTTATCAGTCTAAAATATTGCTGAAATTAAATTTGCCTGTGAAGTTTTTATTGTGATGAAATATGTATAACATAAAATTGATCATTGTAACCATTTTAAGTGTACCGTTCGTTCAGTTATGTTAGTTACATCCGCATTGTTGTGTAACCGTCACCACCATCCATCTCCAGAACTTTTGTTTTTTTAAGACAGGGTTTTGCTATATAGTTAGTTCAGGCGCACCTGGAGCTCACTACCGAGCCCAGGCTGGCCTGAAACTCGCAGTGATCCTCCTGCCTCAGCCTTCCCAGTGCTGGGATTATAGGTGTGTGCCATCACACCCTGAAATCTTCAGAACTCTTATCTTCCAAAACTGAAACTTTGTCCCCACAAAGAAATGACTCTCAGTTCCGTGCCTCCACCCCCACCCCCCACCCCTCTGGCAACCACTATTTACTTTCTGTGTTTCTATGAATTTAACTATTATACTACTCATTTGTCCTTTTTGTTTTGGAATTGAGGATTGAACCAAGGAGCTTTGCACTGAGCTACATCTCCAGCCCTTTTTAATTTTTAAAAAAAATTTTAAGACACAGTCTCACCAAGTTGCTGAGTTACTTTTTGTTGATAACACTCTGAATTGAATACATTGGGTTGAATAAAATATATTCTTTAAATGATTTTCACTTGTTTCTTTTTACGATTTTTTTTGGAGGGGTACCGAGGGCCGGGGATTTAGCTCAGTGGTTCTGCTGCCTGCCTCGCAAGCGCAAGGTCCCCAGTTCAATCCTTGGTACCAAAAGAAAAAAAAAAATGACAATGAGAACATTTAAAAATTACACATGGGGCTTGGTTTACTTCGGTGGGGTACACCTGCGGTGATGCCATGTCTCCACCAGGTGGCGCCAACACAAGGCACTGCAGCACTACCTGTTAAAAAAGCCACCGGCCAGAACAGGGATGGGACAAATCTTAGAGGCTATTAAGAAGTAGGGGTTTAGAGAGGACATTGAGATGTGGTTCCCTGACAGAGAGGTCCTATTGTGGGGACAGAATCTCCATGTTCTGGAGAGCAGGAGATAGGCAGTGTAAAATAATAATGGCAGGGCTGGGGATTTAGCTCAGTGGTTCCGGCGCCTGCCGCGCAAGCGCAAGGTCCCGAGTTCAATCCCCGGTACCAAAAAAAAAAAAAGTCAAAAATACCTACGTCAAAGATACAACGTATAGTTTGGTAACTGTGGAACAGCCTGAGGAACTGCCAGACTGTTTCCCAGCAACTGCACCATTCTGTGTTCCCAAACGGCAGAATATGGGGGGCGGGTTCCAGTTTCTGTGCACTTGGACACATGCTGTTATCTGTCTTTGTGATTGTAGTCATGCCAATGGATGGATGTCAAGTGGTATCTCACTGTATTCTCATTCATCCTCATTCTTTCTCCCCCCCCCCATGTCTAGCCAGGTGTGGCGATGCATACCTGTAATCCCAGCATTCTGGGAAGCTGAGGCAGGAAGACCATAAATTAGAGTCCACCCCGGGCAACTTAGTGACTTAGAGAGACTCTGTCTGAAAATGAACAAAAAAAAAAAAGAAGAAGAAGAAATCTGGAGATGTAGCTTAGTGAGGCCCTAGGTTCAATCCCTAGTACTACAAAAGATAAAATAAAAATAAAAACACCCTGGAGATAACTATTGGCCAGACTGTATCCCACAAGAAGTGTCAAAAACTTAGTTTCTAGAGAATACTAAATGTGCCAGCCTATTGCCAACACTAACCACTTCTCTCCAGAGATATTCTTCACCGTGGTCTTCAATCCACAGGCTAGAAAGCAAAACTTTCTTCAGACCAAACATTGATTAAATGGGAAATTCTTTTGTTCCTGTCATGAGGACTAGTTTGGTCCATCCTTGTTCCATATTACATTGTTTAACAAAGAGGAAACATTTCTGATGTAAAGCTGGTATGGTTGAAGTGATTAAAAAAGGTGGCCTTTCCTGACATGCATGGAAGTTGTCTTAGATGCAGTGGCCTAACGTTTTGTGAAGTCAAAGAAGACCCTAGGAAAGGGTCACATGGAAGTGTCCTGGGAAGGCTTTCCACTTGATGATGAAGATGCTGGAGCTATGGACTGAGAAGAGGTCATTAGCATGAACTCTACAGATATGTCCAGGGGACCAGTCAGTGTCATTGTAAAGTGATCTGGGCTCTCTTTGCTATAATTCTGTAGGTGAGGAGACAGAAGTTCAGGAGGTTTTGAGTCTAGTTCAAGGGCAAACCTCTGCTATAGCTCAGAACAAAGATAATAACAAGGTTATCTGATTTCTGGGGTTCTGCTTGCTTGCTTTTGTTTTTGCAGTGCTGGGGATTGAACCCAGAACCTCATTGCTAGGCAAGAGCTCTACTCTTGAGCAAGACCCCTCATTTCTAGGTTCTTCAACACACCCCCTGAAGGATCTCTCCTGTCCTCTGGTTATATTACATATCTCACTGTGGGCCTTGAGAGTTGGCTGAGGTCTTTGATGAAAAAGCATGGCCCAGGTCCTGGTCCCGGTCTCCAGTGGTCCCTCATGTTTGTCAGCTGAGCCAGTGATACAAGCTCTATCCACGTCAGCAACACAGAGCAGGATTCTGTGGTCCTGACCTGCTTCTAAGATGACCCTGGGCTCTCCATCCTGTAGATCTCCAGTAACCAGATTCCATGGCTCGCAGAGGAGACAAAGCTGTCCCAGGACCGTGGCAGCCCCAGCATAGACCCTGTTAAGGGGTTGTCAGTGTGAAACCTCCTGCCTAGGCAGCTCCAGCAAGAGTGGCTCCTCGGGCTGGCTATGCAATGTGAGTGAGCTGTAAAATAAGGGCAGTGAATGATAATACATTATTCTATAGAATTATCATGAATTGTCAGTGCAATGAGGGCAGCAAGTTCAGAGAAGACTTCTAGTGAGTAATCAGGGCTCAAGAATGTGAGCTGATATTGTCATTATTGTTCAATTAAGGTCTCATCAATTTCTGATCATACCACTTACCAGTCTCCTTGGCACCATCTTTATTGGGCAGGTAACAGCATGATCCTTGGGACGGACAGTGGTTACTTGGATTGAGAGAAGTGAGCACTGAGAACCACATCCTGTGCATGACAAACTCAGAGGATGGAGTAATCTGTATAAGTCTGTTGGGTTTCATTGGTTCTTGGTGTTGCCCAAGTCCTTATTGATCTTCTTTATGGCTTTTGTATCCATTATTGAAAGCCTAATTTTTAATTCCAAGTATCATTTTAGAACTGTTTCTCCCTTCAAATCTGTCACCTTTTATTTTCTACATATATGATGTTGGTGCTCTGTTTTTAGGTGCATATCAGTTTATTATTATTAAATCTATCTGATAGATTAAAATTCCCCCAACCAAACCTTCAGTATCAGCAGTGTCAGGAGGGAGGATCCAGGGTCTTGACAATGAGAGATCCCCATCAGTGTGAGGTCAGCAACCCAGTCAGTGTCTGCAGAAGTGTCCCCATCCACCCGGGTCCCTCCCACACTGTCACTTGTGCATGTCACTGGCACAGGATGCAAGCAATTAGGAGGCATAAGGACTCTCTTCAGAGCCCAGAGAGCAATGTAGTTAAGAACCCAGGAATTAAACTAATATTGTTATCATGTAGGTTTTGACCTGTACCTGATGTTTGTCTTTGGGCTAGATGCTCAGCTTTCTAACCCTCCATTTTCTCATTAGTAAAACTGTAACAAAACCTCAATCTTAGGGTTGTTGTGAGGAATTTTATCAGGAGGAAAATGAGGATAAATCATGTAACACAGGGACTTAAAGTCAGGGTGTAATCAGTGATATTAAGGAGCACTATTGTTAATTAAAAATTTTTTGAGACAGGGTCTCATTATGTAGTTAAGGCTGGCCTTGAACTCCATGTAGCCCAGGGTGGCCTCAAACTCCCAGCGATCCTCCTGCCTCAGCCTCCCAAGTGCTGGGATTACAAGGAGCATTATTTTTTATTCACATTACTGTTGTTGGCTGTAAGTCAAGTAGAAAAACTTTGTTTCATCATTGGCCATCTCTATAGCCTTTCTTGGCTTATTTAAGCATACAAGAGTCAGATTCTAAATCGACATAATGGGTGACAGCCCTTCTTGTCTTGGGGATAGAGAGATCCTAGGAGATGTAGGTAAAGTGTTTCCCACTGGGCCTGACCCATAGAAGTCCCTGAAAACTGTCACTCACTATCATTATTACTACTTAGCCTTGCATCAAATGACACTGGGTAAGGGCTGCCCTCTAAGTCTGTCACATGATGGAAAAGAAGAAGTAGAGGAAAAAGCATTAAAGGAACACGAGTAGGGTGTGGTACAGGCTACAGGTGGGAAAGTGTGAGAGTTAGAGCGACTCCGGGTTTCAAAACAGGCAATGAAGCAACTGCAGAAGGCTGCAGAGTCCGTAGGCATCATTCAGCCCTCGCTGGGCTGCTTCCAACATGGACCCTCAATGTTTCCCCTGCAGCACCCTTGGGCCTTCATCTCCATTCTCTTCTCCTTTCAGGGGAAGAAAGCACCCCAGGTCTCCCTACAGGCGCCATTGCTGGTCGTGCCTGGGGTCCTGGTCCGGGTGGCTCTGGCGGTCACCCTGGGGGGGGTGTTTCCTGCTGCTCATGAGGACTGGAAGGTGCCAAGGCTGCTCCCCACCTGACCCCACCCCCAGGCTTCCCCAGGATAGGAGGAATGAGACCTCATCCTCAGGCTCTGGGACTGGCTCTCAGGCCTCTTACTTCCCATGGGCCCTTTCCTTTCCTTCTACGGGGCTCCTCCCTCGCGAGCTCTGACCCTGGGCCACCTTTTCCACAGCTTGTGTCTGTAAATTGTGTAAACTAGGGATGCACCCCCTCAGCAAGGCCTTGGTTCTCCACAAAGCAAACTTGCAGCCTGGGAGGTGATCACTGCCACTGCTCAGAAACCAGCACCTTCTGCTGCTGTTATTCTGGTCATTTCACCCAGTGCAGGGTCACAGCTTGGCATCTGAGGGATGACCCTGGCCATGGTCATACAGGGTGAGAGGAGGAGCCTGGGCAGGCTGGGTGGGGTCAGCAGCCTCTCTGGCTGCTGTCACCCATGGAGGGCTGGAGCCCAGCCATGTCTTAGAGTCTTTTATGACTCTTATCAAGGTGGATGCAGGACAAGGCTACCATCTCATTTCTGCACCTCCTGGCTGAGCAGATGGGCTGGCCACAGCAGGAAACTGAGTTCAGAAGAATAGAGGTGGCTGGGTCCCCAGGGTCCTGCCTCCCTGGTGGGCCTTGCATTGTGGCCCTTCAACTCAAGGCAAATCTTCAGCTCCTTTCCTGGGTCCTTGGGTCAGGACTCCCCTGGGCCTGCTTCTGCTTGAGGACCCTTCCCCTCTGACCCGTCAGAAGTAGCTTTTTAAGGCCTTTGCTCAGTCTGCCCTCTCCTAGGTTCCCCTCCTACCACAGAACTAATGGAGACAGGAGTCTCCACCCTCAGCTTAGAAAACAGAGCCTCCCCCCATGCCCATCCTGTGATCTGACCACAAAGCTACAGCTGCTCCCTAGGCCCAGTGTCCAGCATGACCTCAGAGGGCACCAGCGAGCTGTGTCCACCCCAGTGAGCAACCCTTTGGCCTGGGGATGGCTGGGAGGCCCCATGGTGTCCACTCCTGCAGTCACTCCTTAGGTCAGATCCTTTCACAGGGGTTTCTAAGAGGCCTCTCTACGAATACTCTGCAAAGAGACACCCAACTGCCAGGTCAGTCTGGACCCATGGGACACAGGTCATGGTCACCTGGACCTCACTTGCCCACTTGCCCCCCAAGTGCCAATGGAGTCTCCACTGGGAGATGCTTAATTTTTCCAGATACTCTGAGAGCCGAGGACCCCCAGGCCTCCTGCAGGAGGGGCCCAGGCCTCCTCTACCCTCCTGCTAACTCCTATCTCTATCTCCAGGCCGCAGACCCTCTGAAAGTCCTGCCTCCCTGGTAAGCCCACCCCACCCGCTTCACAGGGCTGAAGCTGTGCAGGCTCAGGGCAGGGGCTCTGTCAGCCCTGCCCTCCTCCACATGGCCAGGACAAGGTTAGCCCAGCCCTGGCCTGGAGATGGACATCTTTAGGGGCAGGACCACACCTGCCTTCTCTTGAGCCCATCCTGAGTCCCTCTGTTGGTCTGAGGGGACCCTAGGGTCTG